AATTCCATGAAGAATGATCTGAAATGTATAACGATAATAATATAAATACGTTCGTGAAGTAACATAACATTGTCCATCCTCGGAAACATCATAATAAATAGCGATTGGAATACCATGTAACAAATTCAACAAAACAATCATGAAAATCACGCATTTTGTTCCTTGTCTTGTTGTACTCATATGTCGAAGACGAACATTTCGTGAAGAAATCAAATATCGATCAAATGTTGCCATACAAACACATGTTAATGAAATTGTATTAAATGTATGTAACGAGTAATATCGAAGTTTACATAAAGGAATTACCGCATTCCTTGTTACATGATATTGATAACCATCGAAAAGAATTCGAGTTGTGAACGGATATCCAATGATTATGAGATTTACTAGTGAAGATATGAGTAAATATATCGAACTATTAGTTGTTCGATTGTTGAATAGAGTATGGTTTATTCGTTGTCGAGGACGAGACCAAATGGTGAAAACAAAGATGTTCAAAAGATTTCCAATAAGACCCAAAACGATCATTATTATTCCAACAATGATCAATAATCGACGAGAAATGAATTCAATACCACCAGTTGTTGAATTATCCATATGGAATAAATTAAATAAAAGCTTGAAAGAGAATGTCAGCAACAGATATCGTCGCGAAATGTTTTATTTAACTTAAAAGAAGCGGAAAAGTGCATTAGCATAAGACATGTCTACGTTCATGTCATTTAACAGATAGTATCTCATTAAAAATGAGCCAAATGGGTTCCATAATTTCATCTTTATAAGAAAAAAGATTAAAAAACACACACATACTATATAAGATATTACCGACCAGAACAGATGTGGATATATTCATTTGCATTTACACGTTTTCACATGCGATTTATAATCAGTATAATTGAAGATCATTATTAACTCTTTTGTATATTATAAACCATTGAAGAAATTACAGAATAGAATCGTAAAACTTCCTTTTTTGTTTAAATGAGAAACATTATTCTTTTCTGATTTACTTCACAATTAAATAAAAAGATAATTCATCATCTTCGTAAGAAATTCTTCAATGAGAAAAATTCCCTGAAATGAATGAACATGATTTGTGTTTGATAATTGAAGAATTTCCATACGATTTAGTGCATGATTTGTTGTTCTTTTAAATCAGATGTGAAAATGTACAATGAAATTGGCAATTCAACGATATTTCGTTTATTTAATTCTATTTTTAGAAGTTCTTCTTCATATATTCGATACATTGATCTCTTCTGAAGACTTAACAAAGTTATTTTGAAATAATGAAAAGTGGGTGTGTTCTTCGATTCACTTGACATGGATCCGGCTCTTCAGTTTGTCTCAAAAAGTAAACGACGCAGATAGTAATTAGACGAATATTTGGCCGAGATAAACCAAACAACAATTGATATTTTCGAACTGAACAAAAAATATACAAGACTGATGAGAAAATGTTTGATTTGAGCTTGAGGAATTAAAGAATTGTGGGTTTCGAGGCGCGTTCGATAGATGCTTTACTGTAAATATTAACGGATGTACTATGAGTGGATGAAACGCGTGCTACTTGATAATAGAGAACGTAATGAACGCGTTTTTGGCAAAAAATAATTCTTTTGACTTGAATGCGAAAATTCGGAGTGGAAATGTAATAAATATAAAAACTAGTTACTGGATTTGTGTAAAATAAGATATGAGATATAACATGAAAGAAGAAAAAATACGATGAATTCAATCGATCATCTCGAATAAACATAACATTGAGACTTTGTTCGATACAATATGGAATTGATGATAAAATGATCGCCAGTGACATTAACAAAAGCATTCGTGATAATTGTTTATCACTACTAATTCCTTTCTTTCGTTTATGATGATGTTGATGACGAGAACAACTTCTTGTTTTTATTCGTTTCAATTGTTTAAATGTCAATAAACCAAATATGGAAAGAAATATAATCGGAATAATTCCATGAAGAACTATTTGAATTGTACATAAATAATAATACAAATAATTCGTTGATAAAATTGTACATTTACCCGTTGATGAAACATTGAAGAAAATCATTACAGGTACACTATGTAATCCGATTAAAACAACCAGAAACAAAATGATTAATTTCGTTTGTTGTCTTCGTGTACTCAGTTTCCTCAAACGAACTTTTCTTGATGAAACTAAATAACGATCAAATGTCGCCATACAAATACATATTAATGAGATTAAATCGAATGTATGTAAAACATAGAAACGTAATTTACAGAAGATAAGAACATTGTTTAATGTAACTCGATAATGATAACCATCGAACATAATTCGAGTTAAAAGAGGATAAATAATAACAAATAGATTAGCGATAGATGATGCAAGTAGATATAACGAACTGTTACTTGTTTGACTATGTCGATAGTGTTTTTGAGATTGATTAGGAGAACGAGACCAGATAGCGAAAACCCAAATGTTAAGAATATTTCCAATTGAACCGAATATGTACATGAGAATACCGGCGACGATCATAATTTGATTTGAAATTGCATCGAGTTGATCCATGATGGAGTGAAAATCTAAAAGAACATATGCTGTGACTAGAGTTGTTGAATTCAAGGACAAGATCTGACTCTCATTAGAATAAGGAGGAAAATGCGCATTTGTGGTTTAAGATACAAATCTTTAGATGAATTTGATGAGAAAACTGGAGAGATGTGATGGTTGATGCGTTACGTTGGAAAAGAAAAGATAACCTTGTCTAACGGACAAAGAGAAAGAGAATGTGACAACTAATTGCAAAGAAAATTTATATTTTTAGATCAAATCATTTCCTTTTTCGGGTAAGGATAGTGTCGGTGGGTTGATCTACAAAAAGAATTACCTTTTTCTTCTTCTAACAAATAATTTCTATTGACATGTTCATGTGACGGAATAGACAATGAGTGTCTAACCTTGGTTTCAAACATAGACAGGCTTCTACAAGCAATTTATTGACATAATTCGACTTTCGACTCTTCTACCTGTGTCGCTTCGACCGAATTCAAGGATTTTTTCAGAGAATTCTCATTTAAACAAAACAAAGCGTTTAGATGGGGCGGAAAGAAAATCTCCCACACAAGGAAAGAAACAAGTTAATGTCGAGATCGACGCGATGGGTACATAACACACTCTCTTGTCTTCTATGTCAAAAACTTCTTGAAATGATCGTCAATATTGAAAAGAAATGTCCGAATATTGGAACTACAAATGAAAAATTATGTGTAAATGTTTGGAGAACTGATCATGTTAGCTTTTCTCATCATTGTTGACTGACATTTCGAAATTCGATGAATTTGTCTTGAGAGAATAATGTCTTTTCTTCAAATATTTTCTCGTTTGTTATTTATATTCTTGTCAATCAAGTTTGTTGAGAATAACAATAGAAGACAACACTTTTTTTTCTGCGCTAACACCAGATATTTCTGTTCAATGTCGATTGATTCAACAACAAAAGACTATTCAGTGTATAGAAGTTTACCAAATATGAATAGTCTCATATGGAAAGAGACACGATGTTCAAGAGAAAAAACAAGCGAAGTTTTCTCTTGTCGATTGATATATGTTTGTATAATTATATTAAATCTAACCGGAATTTCCTGAATTCATATCATTTGGGTATTAGTTGACATGAAGCGAGAGCTAATTTAGTTTGTGGAAACTTTGTATTTCTCTTTCAAATGATTCTAAAGTCACGATAATCTTCATCATTAAAATCTTCTCTATATTTCGTCACGATCATTCAATTAAACCACAGAAGACATTTTTCGTCTGTCGACATGTCATTGAAAAGAGAAGAAGACAAAGAATCGATGTGTACAGAAAAGATTTCCAATCCCAAATGACAACCTTTGGAGTAACACATCGTAACATCTGTTTATTCTTAATCATAAAAAAATCATGTTATTACGCGCAGTAGATGTCTTCGATATTTATGTTGAACCATTTATTCACTCTGGCTTTCGTCTACCCAATCAACCTTATTCTTACTATTATCGTTCATTATTTTCTCTGCATAATGAAACACTATCGGTGTGGATACATTTACTCGGCACATTTATCCTTATCGGACAAGTTTTTCATCAGATATTTCATTTTCCATCAGGGGAAGATTCGATGATACTAAGTGCGTATGTCTTTTATAATTATTTTGGTGCTTGTCTGATGCTTCTATGCTCTGCTCAAGCACATTTACTTCATTCAAGAACATTAGCTGATCATATCCGTTCGTTTTATCTGGACTATTTCGGAATTAACTTCTATGGATTCACTTCCGGAATAATTCTTTACAAATTTTCTTTTCAACAACATTTTCACATCGAAGATCGAGTAACGTAGAATGTTTTCTCGAGAATAGAATTGACATAGGAGATTTGTTCTCATTTAGTCGACTGATGAGACACGGTATTATATGATATTGGCTTTGTTTACATTATATTCGTTATCAATGGCGTGTTTTTGTAAAATATTTTATCATCGGCCATATCCACTTTCACATAAATGTTTACAGTGCTCAGGTGTTTTACTTGTTTATCTCTATCAGATTTGGCCAATCTTGAAAATGTTATTCTTGACATATGTTTTTCCTGATGAGAGACAAGAGTTGAATGAACACGGAGAAAAAGCGTTGTTTTGGCATTTATTACAGATTGTTTCGTTTGTGTTAAGTGGCTTCATTTTCGTTGGAAGAATTCCTGAACGATTCTACCCAGGTGGATTCGATTTGTTCGGTCAATCTCATCACACTTTTCACTTCACTATTTTTCTCATGGTTTATTGTCAATCCAATGCGGTTTACGAAGATATTCTTTCTTCGTCTTCAAAAATGATCGAACATAATCTAATCAAAGATCTGCTCTTCACCCTTTTAGTTCTAATTTTACAATTATTATCAATTTGTTCGTGGTTTCGAATCAGTCGACCCGCAATTGAACGACGTTATCAAGCGACTTTCGATGATTAATCAATGAATTGTTTATAACTTTCTCCTACGTGTATTTACTGAATAAAATCAAGTTTTATGGATAATCCGGAAACAACTGTCGACTTACTCGGGCACAATAGATGAGCTTTCAAAGATAATAAATGTCTTTTATTCGATTCCAGCTGCGTAGTTACGACCGGAAAGATTATTTTCAAGAGAGTCAGAGTTAGGACAACTTCAGGACAAATATTTCGAATAGAATTTTTCAGTTTCGTACGAAAAATAGATTCGGTATCTGTAATGATCATTAATTTACTGGGGAAAGACATAATTAGACGTGTTATGTATGGTACGGTCTGAAGGAAATGTCGAACAAAGACTTTCAGAATACAAATGACATCACGTCAAAGTCGTGATCAAAAAGGACATTTCCGTACATAAATGACTAATTTGATTGTATTATAAGAAGTAAAAGCTTATTGCGCATATCTCAATAGTGGAATTTATCAAATTTTGTGTCGAATGACTAGAACGTTCTATGCTGCTAAAGTCATAATTACATGTTGATAAAAGTTAATTGAAGAATATTCTGATAAAATATCTGCCTTTTGTTGAGACATACACGAAAAGGATATTATCTGAAGCACAGTCGATTGTTAACATGGATGAAATACGCCAAATAATCGAATTGAAGGGAATCGAACGAGACTGAAGCGGAAAGTATCTCATTTCATTTGATTATAATGACAAGTAACGCTCATCCTTTGGATTCGCTGGCCATTTTCTGAAAGACTTTTCCTAATGCTGAACACATCCAGAGACTTTGAAAGAGAAAAAACGTACTGCGATTGCTACTTGTGCTCAACTGAATCATGGCACTATGTCACATACTAGAACTAGAATGAATAGGATATAGAGGTCTTTTTAGGGATCAGAACGATTAGCCATTTGTCAGTGGATAATTTTCCAGCACTAACTATCCCAGGTCGATCATTCCGGCGGCAAGGAAATGGCCGGAGCCGATCGTGCCATAATAACCTGGGCTTCTACAAAACATTTCAGAACAGGTGAAGAAAAATATCTCCTTTGTAAAGAGCAAGCCCAGACTCAGCGGATAAGACGAAATTCACCCTCAAGTTCGAATTCCCCCGACGTCAGAAACCCTTCGGTCTACTTTGATAATGGATGTTCATAATTCGTGACTAGTTAATGAAAAATTAATAATTAATTAAGTAACATTAACCTCGGGTTCGCGATCCTCGACCTCGATTATCTTGCACGAATCACTTTCTAAGGAACATCATTAAGTTTTCATTGATTTATGATATGCTGTAATCTGATTGGCTTGGACAAACGAACAAACAAACTTTAACCAGTTTTAACGCGGCTATAACCCTTTCTTTCAGAAAAGGGAACAGCTAGATAATAATGAAACATCGCTCGCATTCAATGTTCCTTCGTCTGATCACTTTACCTTTACGAGAACTGACATGTAAAATGCATACGTGCTGTACTCCTGTCAATTCAATTCTGCCATACTCCAATATAGTCGAGCAGTCTGCAGTAATGTTGTCTTGTCAATCACACACTTTCAGAAACAAATTCGAATACAAGAGAACCTCTCATAAACGCATCGTATCACGGTACCTCTTTCATCAAACACTGCTCTCTTACACCTTCGTAAGTAAGGCATTCACTTCCACTATTCCATATATATTTTCCCACAACAAAAAGCATTCTCATTGAGGTCACATCCACTTATCCCATCTAAACTAATTTTCTATTCCTTCACTACTTCTCACTGTCACCAAAATCACACACCAAATGATATCGACTAAGATCTCAGTAAAAAAGCATCCTTTCTACAAAAAGAGTCACCAAATCCCCTATCAGTTGTTCTCCCATTCCATTCAGCACAAGATCGAGCGATGTATAACTGGTAGATCGTAACTAAAACACTCGATGTCAGTGAATAAGGATCGAGGGGTACAAATTTAATTACAGGCTGGAATGGAACAACCCGAAACCCCTAATGATTAGCAATGAGCAATCGAGATGAAGGCGATACTGTATTCGTATTGAAATGAAAATTTGTTCATAACAAAATAAAACACGTAGTAATACCTTATTTTTGTAGTTATCTTTGTAAATATTGAAAACAAACGAAAATTCATTATGCTCTTAACGATCTGCCAGTAAGTTCTTTCACAAACTGAATGACGAGGTCAATTTACATTTTTAGTTACATTCAATCTTGAATTTTACGATCACCGTGATTAAACTATAGCTACATTCTAAATGTTTTGTTTCAAATACCTAATCAGTGTATTGAAATCACGTTGTTTTTATTTTTACCATCTTCAATAGAAAAGAAATTCCGAACTCCCGTCACACAATTCAAAACAACTTCGGCCACGCGGAATTCCGGACTCCTGCACGACATTTAGGGGAACCAAAATTTTTTCCGAACATCCAGTCATGCTGCCAGATGTTCGGAATAGGTGGTACGAAACGTAATTTTCGCAAAACATCGGCCTTCCTGCATTCCGATGCAACGCGTCCTCAATGAGTTGTGTTGCTTCAACACTGATTCTATTGCCGCCCAGGTTTAGTGTGGTGAGTGTCTGTGGGTATGAGAGAGACTGAATACTTCATCTTCCGTGCAAAGAGATCAATATTACCGTGTTCGTTCGCAGCGCATCCGCAATGTATTGTGCTCCTTTATCATCGACTCTGTTAAAGCCGAGATCTAGTGCGGTGAGTGTCTGTGGGTATGAGAGAGACTGAATACTTCACCTTCCGTGAAATAAGATCAATATTACCGTGTTCGTTCGCAACGTATCCGCAATATGTTGCGCTCCTTCATCATCGACTCTGTTAAAGCCGAGATCTAGTGCGGTGAGTGTCTGTGGGTGTGAGAGAGACTGAATACTTCACTTTCCGTGAAATGAGATCAATATTACCGTGTTCGTTCGCAACGTATCCCCAATGTGTTGTGCTCCTTCATCACTGATTCCATTGCCGCGCAGGTTTAGTGTGGTGAGTGTCTGTGCGTGTGAGAGAGACTGAATACTTCACCTTCCGTGAAATGAGATCAATATTACCGTGTTCGTTCGCAACGCATCCGCAATATGTTGCGCTCCTTCATCACCGACTCTGTTAGAGCTGAGATCTAGTGCGGTGAGTGTCTGTATATGTGAGAGAGACTGAATACTTCATCTTCCGTGCAAAGAGATCAATATTACCGTGTTCGTTCGCAACGCATCCGCAATGTGTTGTGCTGCTTCAGCACTGATTCCATTGCCGCGCAGGTTTAGTGTGGTGAGTGTCTGTGCGTGTGAGAGAGACTAAGTACTTCACCTTCCGTGAAATAAGATCAATATTACCGTGTTCGTTCGCAACGCATCCGCAATATGTTGCGCTCCTTCATCACCGACTCTGTTAAAGCCGAGATCTAGTGCGGTGAGTGTCTGTGCGTGTGAGAGAGACTGAATACTTCATCTTCCGTGCAAAGAGATCAATATTACCGTGTTCGTTCGCAGCGCATCCGCAATGTATTGTGCTCCTTTATCACTGATTCCGTTGGCGCTCAGCTTTAGTGTGGTGAGTGTCTGTGGGTGTGTGAGAGACTGAATACTTCATCTTCCGTGCAAAGAGATCAATATTACCGTGTTCGTTCGCAACGCATACGCAATGTGTTGTGCTTCTTCATCACGGATTTTGTAACAGCGAAGATCTAGTGCGCTGAGTGTCTAGATTAAAGTAATATATTATGAAAAGGACAACTAGTAAAGAGAACCTTTTATGACACTTCCGACTGTATATGTGTGATAGGAAATAGTCATTTATCGGGACGATGTTCAAGGAGCAGTTGGATGTATATGCTAGTTTTTTGGGGTTGATAATGGTGGTAGTTGTTGCGCAGGAAAGGCTGCGTTCAGCGAAGAGCTGCTGTGTTGGCAATATAGATAGGAGATTGCTGCGAGCTGATCGAGTGGAGTGAGAAAGATATAGCTATCAGTATTTATTGACTGTATTGAGATATCTCTTTTGAAGGCGGACTCCAATACTATGCAAATACTACTGTTGTGAAATTAAGAGATGGATTTGATGTATCCCTGCTTATAAGGAATATTGACATAGGTCTAGCAACGGTGCAGTGCAGCTTGCTTTAGTTGATACACTTTTGGTATCTAGTAGCTAAGGATGCGAACGGTAACGCATAACTATGTATTTTGTTCGTTCATGATCGTGTATCGATCGAATGCATACTCAATATACATAGAAGAACGACGAGAGAGTGCGGGAGTATTTGATTTCATATGACTTCGTACTGTGATAGTCCCATTCTATGAAATTGGTTGCTGATTATGGAATTACTTTGCCTCTTCCTATGAGGAAATTCACGACATCAAATACCATTAAGCTTATGTGTAGCACAACCTGCAAGAGTGGTAAAATGCCAAGCAAACTTACTCGATATCGCTCGTAAGTACTCAGGATCTGATTGAGCCTTCGACAAACGTTTTGCATTGAAAAAAATAGCGTCGGCTCATTTTGATGATCCATAATTCGATAGACAATTTCGACGGGTAATGTGGAAAATGTGTGCATGTTGTATTGCAATTGTGCAGCAAATCGTACTGTAGAGACTGAAAACTGTTTGATGTTGTTCGTTATCAGTAGTAACTCATGGTGGTGATGCATTTATATATGTTTTTGACGAAAACAAATGACGTGTAATCATTTCAACAGTTACGAATTGTTGCTGTGCGCAGAAAGATGGCGTTGGAACATGCATGCTCATTGAATTCTGTTTTGACATTTAAAATAGACGTTTCAAGAGTTAAAAGTAGAAAATCTTTTATGCCTTTGACTCCTTTGCAAGCCGATTCGATTTTCTTCAAAAGAAATTGACACCTCTAAATAAATTTTTTTAGCTAAAAAGTATAGTAGAAGATAAAAAACTCTACAGTTTAAATTAGAGATTTATTTTGATTATGTAAATTTTTTTTCAAGAACGCTAAATGCTAACCACTCAGTTTTCACTGATTGATTTGCACCATTTGACGTTCTTCGGTAAAAAAACACATGACTGTAAAAAGTTTCACGATATAGTTTGCTGAGAGCTTCATGCAGCATCTCTCAGTGTGTTCGTTTCATTCTTCCCAAGTCTTATTCGATGATATATAAAAGAAACAAGAAAAAATGATCGTTTGTCAACCTGAAAAACCAGTCCCATGATCTTTTGTTTCTTTTTGAAGCCAAAAAATATAAAATTGAGCTACGGCTTACCGTAGGGGTGACGTGAACTTGAACACTTAAAGATAAGTTAAATTGCCACTCCTACAATATATATCTGTTTTTTGTGTTGAAGAGTGAGTTAGAACACGCAGCATCTTTTACATAAATAGAATGCCAACTCCCTCACCGAGGTGCTCTAACAATTTGTTGTGAATTCATTTTGGTGAATTAATTACTCCATAGCATTTTACTAAATAAGAAAACCTTCGAAAAAATAAACGCTATCGATTCTCTTCGGAAACAAGGCGTTTAGCTTATTGGAAAAGTTAAGCCGCTTTTTGATATGCCCAAACAGATGGCTTTAAAGACAATCTTCAAATCCACAAGAACGCTGTAGTATCTTACTTTAAAACACCCGTAGCTCTGTTAAGAAATAACTGCCGATTAGTTTCTTATAATGCAATAATCATGACATACATATGCGAGCATTTACAACGAAGAGCAAAAATAGTACCCGATTTATTATTTGACTGTGGAGGATAGTATTTTATGTAGTGCGTGGTATATGTTATATCGTTCCATAGGATTTTATTCTTTGATATCTGCAATAAATTATGAAACGAATGGAACTACATTGTTCTAGTTCTTCAGCATCGGTGTGAAGCTAGCACCATCGAGCTAGCACCATCAAACTAAGGGTTTTCTGAAAACGAATTCCGGTCGATAGAACCGAGCGTATTCGATGCAGAATTTAATTCTGAGTCCAATGGTAACATTTTTATTCACCGGAAAACGTTCGGAGAAAAATTTTCTTTGATTTTTCTTTATCCTCGATACATGTATATGCATCATTTTTCGGCCGTCGGCACGCAATATGTCTGTCCAGAACGAATTCCGGTTCATGGAAAAGAGTCTGTTCGACGCAGAATTTGAGTCTGCATCGACTGGTGCCACTTTCATTCACCGGAAAACGTTCGGAAAAAAGTTTTTCAAACTGAAAAAAAAATTTGTATAAATATATGCGAAAAAATCAGAATCAAGGTAAGCTTCATACCGAACGTTTTCCGGTGAATGAAAGTGGCACCAGTCGATGCAGACTCAAATTCTGCGTCGAACAGACTCTTTTCCATGAACCGGAATTCGTTCTGGACAGACATATTGCGTGCCGACGGCCGAAAAATGATGCATATACATGTATCGAGGATAAAGAAAGATCAAAGAAAATTTTTCTCCGAACGTTTTCCGGTGAATAAAAATGTTATCATTGGACTCAGAATTAAATTCTGCATCGAATACGCTCGGTTCTATCGACCGGAATTCGTTTTCAGAAAACCCTTAGTTTGATGGTGCTAGTTCGATGGTGCTAGCTTCACACCGATTTCTTCAGCATCGGTTTTCTTTTACTGAAATACATTTTGCTCATATAATTTGCCTGAAAATCTATTTTATTGCTTAATTGATGCGCATTCATATTCTCTCTTACTAGAATTATTTTCCACGATTTAAGTCCGCTGATAACAACAAGTAACGCTCGTCGTTAGACTCGCTCAGCTCTTTGTCGTAGAAATATTGATTTCAGATGTCATAGTTTTAATGCATTATTGTATATATGAACAACAGCTACGTTACTTCAAAGTTCGTTTATGAAGATCGATAATTAACTATTAGGTCACCAGAGATTGCCGAGAATATTTCATTCACTATACTTATACACTTGACTATATCCGATATCATATGGTTATACATGTTTTTTTTTCCGAGAATGGGTATCCTTTGTTTCAAATTTTTTTTGTAATTCTCAAAAAACCCTTCGGTCAATATTGAGAAAAAAATTCGAAGAACGAACATCAGATTCGAAGTCTCCGTAATGAAGTACGTCTGAAAATATCTCTTCCGAAAAATCGACTTTCGATGTTCTTTTTACCCTGCGGGCATACAAGCAAGCAATTTATGTTTCTAAAACTGTTCTCTACAGAAAAGAGAATACGGTGGTATAGTGATGTGAACGGTATTCAGAGGCCGTAGAGAATAACTATTTTCAACTTCGAAGCTGGACACTACATACCACTATATCCTTATGTGATTACAACCTTGTAGCGCTAGAACCACTAACATTGCATCCTTATACTGCTAGAACCGGTATACCAGGATATATGTATACCACCATACTGTCGGACTCCTAGGCGGATAGGTTCTTCATACTAGATTCAGCTAGTATAAGATATGCATCCTCGGATTTTACTATTAATTATTTTTTATTTTAAATCTATTATGCGGCGAAATCATATTCCCCAGCTTATGCGACCGCCAGTACTGTATATTGATTTTTTTATCTGTTGCAACTTCTCTGCATGTGAGACGTTCGGTATAAATATTTTTATCGGTGTGAAGCTAGCACCACGAAACTAAGGATTTTCTGAAAACGGATTCCTGTCGATAAAACGGATTCTATTCGATGCAGCATTCAATTTTGATACGAATGGTGACATTTTAATTCACGGAAAAACGTTTGGGATGGAGCTTACCTCGATTCTTATTTTTTTTCTTATATATACAAATATAAAAGAAAAATTCGGGAAATTTTTTTCCAAACGTTTTCCCATGAACGGGAATTCGTTTTGGGCACAGATATTGCGTGCCGACTGTCGAAAAATCAAAGAAAAGTTTCCCCCGAACGTTTTCCCGTGAATTAAAATGACACCATTCGAATCAGAATTGAATTCTGCATCGAATAGAATAGATTCTATCGACGAGAATTTATTTTGACAAATTTCTTAGTTTGATGGTGCTAGCTTCACACCGATTAATTTTTCTTGGATTTATTGATACTTTCAAGATCTATCTTCTTTTGTCGTCTATCCCTTTATCCACAAGTCAGACGACTACCATCTAAAAATATATATTTTTACGTTTAAATACAGGATAGCAACGTTGCAAATCTAATTCACGTATCGGTATAGATCATGCTTGAATTTCCAGCATACCCAGTCGCTTATCGGGCAGACGCAATTATGATATTGTATGAAATTCTATTAAGAAGAATCATCATTAAACATCCTTCGCTTGTAAAATCAGTATAGCCGGTTGAGTTTTTCTTGAGTCCGTGAAAGTCAAGTTCCTTATAAGGACATTCCTGTCATATCATCACGAAGTATTTTCTGATATGAGAAATATTAAAAAAGATGAACAGAAAAGAATAATTGAATTATCTTGTTTTTTTAATCACCTGTGAGCAGCGGCGAACATAGCAGTATGTGTTTTCTGTTTTAGTCATCGAAAGAAAAAGAGAAGAATAGTAGAACAATCGTTATAGACTACTTGAACTATTTTTGTTAATTAGGTAACAATAATAGCATAAAAACAGACTTTTACTTGAACTAGGATGCGATTTGCTAAAGTACTCACTCTCTCGTCAATCAAAATGATTCTCGTCACGCGCATACATTGGAGTAACCTTTTCATATATTGAGCAGAATATGTTAAAATTTGCGATTCATCGATTTTTTATATTTATAACACAGAGTGGAATTTTTTTCTCGAGCGCTCCTCAGGAAAACAGCACAATTCTATCTTGAGCTATATCTTGATTCTTGTTAAATTTAGATTAGTTTTCAAATATCACATGTGTAAACTGTATGTCAGTTTATGTAAGTTACTTTTTAACATCGCACGAAAATAAATATTCAATTGGGACGTGATTGACATTGTTCACTCACTATTCGAACTCACTTTCAAACGATAATCACATCTGTTGAGGGTGTTTGATTTTATTTACTTACAAGTTTAGACATGATAGGACAGGAGCTGTTGTAAAGATTAATTCAAACTCTATTTTTGACGCTCTTCCAAATAAAACTGATGTTGGTTATATTGTTTGAAAGGTTTTTAGCGTTTAATTCACTCAAACGCATAATTTTCTCAAAGATAGAGAAACATATTTTTCTATTATTTGACACTTATATATAAAGAGTCAAAATATCATTAGTTCTAATGAAGTTTCATGCTTTCGTATAGGATCAACTTCATGTCTATTAAACAACAAACTAAGATGATGAAAATGGTATGTAGACAGGCTGCATTAATGCGAGCGCCTTATCATAGTCCACCATGGTTGAGACATGCAGCCAATAATGTAGAGAAGAAAGAAAAAATATCAAGTCAAACATCAAAATCAATGAATAAAAAGAAAAAACTCAAACAACATCATCAATTGAAAAAGTATGAACAATTGAATAGTATCGCTTTTTTCACATTAAATATTACTTAATCTATTGAAATTATTCGTTTTTAAGCAGAATACAACAGACAACGAAATGAAACAATCAACCGATGTAATTGCTGTCGCTGTTTCAGACGAAAAATTTGGTCGAAGTTTTATATCAGTGGGAAAGATATATTTTCTCTATAAAATGTTAATATGTATGATATTATTAATCTCTTAAAAATTCTTGCATTCAACTTTTCTGTAACATTTCATACGTTGTAAATAAACATATAGTAAATCTCCATATATATTCAACTTACATTTTCGGCAGTTAAATAGAACAATTAATCATATCCACATTCATAAACCGTAAATCCGTAATATCAAAGTCTGTAATGTCAACGCCGACTATTTCATAATGAGTTTCAACACAATAATTACCGCAATAATAGAATGCGAAACAAACATATGTCACATGACAAACAAAGTGGGCCATTTGTTCTTCTTAGATCACTGCACGTCGACATACAATGACAAATAATTGGCCAATGAAAATCTAGATTAGTCTCTGTAATGCATCCCAATAAGCAAATAACAGCATTCGTTCATAAAGCTCACGATTTTACTTTCAGTACAGATCTCTATATTACTTACATCGTCCAGGAGTTATTTTGTTGTGAAAATTGATGTCTTCCGGCAATATCATATGTATCGATCTGTATAGTCGTGAATAAATATCTTTTTCCTTCTTCGATTGGCCTATGTACTGACCATACCACTAAGAATCAATCGACTGCACATTCAAATAACTCACCGCAAACAGATCACACACTGATGCTTTTCTTCGCACATGAATTCATACATTAGGATACCCTTACCTTCGTCTGCATGATATGTGTATCATTTACCTGTTACATTTGATAATGACACAAAAAATCAATCAATGTCGACTATCTCGAAGTTCTCTCAGACTATATTCTAAATGACTATCGAACCATGTATATCCATCCTCACGGACATTAGAACACATTAGGTCCTATACACAGTCCTTCCATTTCAGACATATAGGAGGTCTCGTCGTACAACGAGATCTTATAAACTGTGTTTTATTTGCAACAATTACAAATTGCGAACACAGAAACTTCGAACATCTTTAATTACTTCGTTAGTTGAGTTTTTGATGATCTCAACTTTGATCGCACAGTAGAAAGATCAAAAGATTTAGATATCCAAGCTGAAAAGCTCAAAACATCAACGAGGGTGAAAATGAGTATGAAAGAAATAACCTGCGAACAACAAAGGGATTTACCTGAAAATTTTCCTCATGCAACATGTCTATCGTTGAAAGTTAATACAATTGTCATTTTCAATATCTTGTGTTTACCATGTTTTTCTTCAACATATTGATTAATAGTATTAGTAGAAGTCGATCTTTCTCATGCAGTAGTAACATAAACAAAAATGTAAAATATTATTTAAAAAAACTAATTATGGCTTTTCCACGTGTGTCTTTAGCTCCCATCACTATGCAAGTGATTTATTTCACTGTATTCTTGTCGTCCTGCACTACAAAGTGTACATCGGGAACGCTGTATATCGGAACATTCTTCACAAAGAAAAGGCTTAGATACCCATAAACCATTTATCTACTGAACAGTTTTGAACTGCAGAATTATGCATAATATGCGTTTTACAGATATCTTATATTACTTCTCACAAACTATTTGTTTAACAGAGCGTTGAATATGGGATGCCAGGATCTGGTATTTTGAAAGCTCGTCTCATATCCGATTTAATTCACAAGTTTAAACAGGTAACGTTACATTCGTCTTTCCCGACCTCGATTACCTTTCGGTCAACCCTTACTCGACAACCAAAAAAATCTTATCCCTTAATTAGTAATTAGCTAATTAGCAAATTGAAATTTCGAGAAACTGACACCGGATTCGAAATCCTCGACCTCGTTTACCTCATCAGTGGTCAATCTTTGATGACTATAGATAAATTTCATTGATTCATAATATGCTGCAATCTGATTGGATTATGCAAACAAACAAACAAACTTTATGCATTTTCATCGCTGTATTTATGACGCTATAAGCCTTTCTTTCAGAATAGGGAACAATTTGAAATACTTGGAAATTATGTCATTGAAGGAAATCATCGAACAAGAAGTAAGATGAAAGTCATCAATTGTTTGATTTGTGTCATAGATAAGTATATTATTCGCATTCACATATAGTGGGATCATACCATATAGCTAATGTTGAGAAACATTTTCAATGTAATTTTTTTGTATAAAATTGAGAAAAAAACTTGTTATGACATGTTTGTTACTAGTAAGTTGTAACATGATTTTGATAAAGAAAAGGATGTCATACAATCAGTACCGCCAATCTCAAATATTAAAAGAAAATCAGATGAAAACTAAGTGCCTAGTCTTCCAATTCAAGCGCAAGATCGAGGCCTACAAATATAAATTCAATTGATCGATTTTCTATCACGAAAAATGAATGTAGGTTTTTTTCCTATCGTTCACTAGCCATAGCCACTATGGTACTGATAGATTGAATGTTGTCATGATGCGCCATCTTCAGTTTTATACCACAGGAGTGTTTTCCATTTCGATCCTCCCATTTTAATCGTTCGTAATTTTCGTCCCCAACTGGATATCGCATTCAACCACTTTCCAATTTGATACTGAACGGATTTTCAGATTACTTTAGCCAGATCTTTTTGGCCTCTATTTCATAATAACAAACGCACGCAATCGACCGAAAACTAAGTTTTTCTTCTCTTTGATTTGATTTTAGATAATAATTTCTCCATTCACTCTTTGCACAGTGTCAGATGAAGAACCCAGGTCGATCATTCCGGCCGGAATCTGGCGGCAAGGAAATGGTCGGAAAACGAACCTAACCGGCCGGAACCGACCGTACCATAATAACCTGGGAACTTCTTTCGCGCTTCTATCGTTATAACCCGAGTAAGTACACTGAAATACTTGTGTTTAAGTTTCTCTTTTGTGACATTTCAGATCGATTTCGTGTTTTTGCGTGTCCGTGTTATCAAGATGGGATTCCTGATGATCAACAGGAATGTGTTTTCAACGTTGAAAATCAAGATGAACAACTTCGCGGTGAACAATTCGACAGTTTTTGGAACCATGTTCGATCTGTGCATCCATTGACATACAATGAGATTATTTTATCGTATCGTGCACAAATACCCGTCGATTCAATAAATACAAAAGTAAGTTTTTTTTCAAAATATCGTTCACAGACTATCTAGAGCCGACAAATCAGTTCGCTGAATTTAACTTGAGCGTTCATGTAATATTCGTTTCTCTACTGAGCTTGTCGATTCTTTGTTACATCGTCGTTCGAAGATATCAAGGAGTTTCTGAATGCCGTTTAGCCGTTCGTGTGAGAAGCCCTTTCGCAATGGAACTCCTAATTGAAGTAAACGAAAACTTATTTGACTGAAAAATAAGAGATTAAACTATTCGGTAAGCTCAGCAACGGGACTTGCTCATAATCGAAAAAAACTGAATTCACAAATTGGACAAGAAAAAACGACGAGACATAAACTGACAAACCACTTAGACATGATTTTGATTCGTTGTTGCTAGCCAGTCGAGTTGATAAGATTTTTTAATTTCGAACTAAACGATCATCGGAAAATTCCCATTCGCCAATTCTGCTTCGAATATGAAGCAAAGTAGAGCACGAGTCATATCTGGGTGAGCGCAAATCGAGTTTCTTTCTTTGGACTCAACGTTGTATTGATATAGTCGTGGAGAACATGCACAAAATTCAAACGTTTATCGATTGCATTGGCAACCTTGGCTTGTGGTTCAACATCAGTCAGTTGTTGTTATTTAATGAGAATCCAGGTCTTGTCCTGGCGGAATTTCATTTGACAGCTCGACATCGATGTCAGAAGCACATTCATCAAATCGGATATCTTTGAGAATTCCAATATGAAATTAGGAAAACATGTTAAGCTAGGGCCACGAAATAAAGGATTTTATAAGAATCTTTGAGAAATAAGTTTAGCCCATAGAAACCAGTTCATCCAAGACACATTTCGATCCAGCATTGGATGTTAATAGTCTTGTTTAAAGGAAAATGGTTGAAGAAAAACTAACTTGTTCTTTATACTTCGACCAGGTCAACAAATCCGATGCTGGATCCGACCATTCGACAAAATCTGATTGGATTCCTGTAGGATCTGGCGAAATCCAGTATTGGATCCGAGTATAGGATTGTTCGACCTGGGTTGCTCTGAACAAAATGAATGGTGCTGAATTCCTCAAAGAATTCAAGACAGCATTGAAGGAATTGAACAATCAAGTCACCGTTCCGACCCAGCCGATCAATCCCAACACCACTGCAGATTCTTCCTCGATGTCGAAATTCATGTGATTTCGATTTCTTTTTCTCGTAAAAGATTTTTGTTGAATAAACAGAAAATGTCGTTTAAAAACATCTCCGTTTATATGAACGTGTTTTTCGGAGAGATGATCACTCTCTTTAAGTATAGCCTTCGATAAGGAAAAAGTTCAGAACATTTGATTTCGTCAAGCATATAATAGATCGAAAACTGTTCTGTCTATCATGACAGTCAGGGGAGTCCATGAATAAACTCTGAAACATCGGCCTGATGTTTGTTGATTTGACTTGAGAGTACGATCCTCATTTTTCTGAGATTATTCATTCTTTCAACCAATGTAAACACTTCATTTTATTTGACTGTTACACTAGATATCGCAGATATTCTACTAGACGTCATGCTGTCTGCAGTGTTGAAACGTATACATTAGAACAATTCTATATTCAATTAGTTAATAATTATTGTCTACAAGACAGCCTATATACTGCACACCTCTTGCTTCGAATAAAGGAATTTTGTATATTTAGCTTTGTTACATCTTTCGACTGACGTTTTATGGTATAGAATGCGCATACATTAATTGCTTGACTTCTTTTAATTATTCGAGTATCTGAAAATGGTTTGCTGAAACTTGACGACCTTTCAAACAATATTTAGTGATAATCTCATATGGTAGCTAAGGATTATCCAACTTGGATAATCCAAGGTAATGTTGATTAGATATCTTGAGACTTTTCAGGTACTATCTGTTAGTCGTTTGGATGTTAGTCTGATTTAGATCTACTCGGGCGTTGACATTTGATCGAAACGTTTATCAATATTTAGAGAAAGTTTGAGATTAAAATAAACATATTCGATTTGTTTTAAACAATTGGACTAAGAAAACTTCGATATGATCAAATGAAAACGAACGCATGTCTTGATCAATTTGTGTTTAATGAAGGCGAAACTTCCGCAGTACCAAATATTTTCTCGTAATCACTCAAATTAAGAAAAGACTTTGTGATCATTGTTTATCAGTACTGATTCCTCAATGATGATGACGACAATGATGTTGATGATGTCTTCTTTCAATTTTTCTCCATTGTTTTAATCTTATTAAACCAAGAATCAAAAGAAATATGATTGGAACTCTTCCATTCAAAAAAGTTTCATCTTGAAGAATCGTTTCAGAATTGCCAACACACTAACATTCTTCATACCGAATGCTATCTATATAGACGACATGAATATTTTCCTTCTTTCTCCTCACAAACATTAACTATATTTAGATCAATCGAACTGTCATTGCAACAAGAGATGAAATAAAGCATACATAATTACTTGTTCAGAAATTGCCATATCAGATCTTTTCTCGTCGTTATCGGGCAATTGAACAACGTTATCAAGCGATTTTCGATGATTAATCGATGAATTGTTTATAACTTTCTTCTACGTGTATTTACTGAATAGAATTAAGTTTTATGGATAATCCGGAAACGACTGTCGACAAAGTCGCGACTTACTCGGGCACAATGGATGAGCTTTCAAAGATAATAATTATCATTTATTCGATTCCAGCTGCGTAGTTACGACCGGAAAGATTATTTTCAAGAGAGTCAGAGTTAGATCAACCTCAGAATAAACTCAGTTTCATACAAAAAATAGATCTCGTCTTTGCAATAATGATTAATTTACTAGGAAAATATATCATTAGACGTGTTATGGTACGATGCGAAGGAAAATGTCGAACAAAGACTTTTGGGACACAAATGACATCATGTCAAGGTCGTGATAGAAATAGCATTTCCGTAGATAAATGTCCTATTTGGCATACTTTACAAGACGTAAAAACTCATTTTGTATATCTGAAAAAAGGGAATGATTAAGCTTAGATTTGAATGACTTCGAGGTTCTTTATTGAAAGTTATAATTGCATGTTAATTGAAGAATGTTGTGATAAAGTGTCGATTTTTATTAAGACATGCATGAAAAGGATCTTGTCTGAATTACAATCGATTGTTAACATCAATAAAGTACGGTAATACGTAATTGAATTGAATGGAATCGAAGAGACAAATGTCTCACTTCATTTATTATAATGACAATTTGAAATACTTGAAGATTATGGGATTGAGGAGAATCTTTGAACGAGAAATAAGAAGATCGAAAAAATCAACTAGTCGAACAGTCGAATCTTTTCAAGATTATCAGTTGTTTGGTAAATATATTATTTGCATTCGTATGGTGAAATCATGCACATTAATTCAAGAAATTTCATGTTCTTACAATACTTTTGCTATAAAACTCTCCCATTTGAATTAGGATATAGGTAATCTTTAGAAACTTATCAGTTTTGTATTTAAGATTTCATGAAAGTTACAAATCTGTAAATACTCGAAATAAAACAATGATACGACTCACCTACTTATAAACATTGACACTTTTCCGGTATTTTGACTTCTGCTGATTACAATGATGGTTGTTTACACAACATCACTCTGAATTCTCATATTTGTGTCTTCAACAATTGCTTTGAATACTCTAATACTGACTATAGGTGCAGCAAATCATGTCATTCCACTGTTTAAATCAGCAAAAAAGGATTGAAAGCTTATAATGTAACATTTGTTATCGATACTACCGACAAATTCTGCATAAATCATTACTCCATTGAGTTTATCTAAATACTTCAATGATTAAGTAAAAGAGTGAACAAAGGATTCGATGTTCCGATTGATACAACATTAATTGTAGATATCAGCAATCTTTGTGAGAATATGGATTTACTCTTTCGTGATACGATTATTAGAAACATTCAGTAATTTTATTGATCTTAGTTAATCAGAGAGTTTTCTTTATTACCAAAAGAACAACTATTCGATGTTCACATATCGAATATATAACGTGGCTTTTTACTATGTATCATTGAATGAAAGACTTCTTGTATGGATTAGCGAAGATTCTTCTTCGAACGGATTTCATTTCGATTTTCTCAGCTTTTCGAAATTGTAATCATCGAATCTTAATAAACAGAAACAAAGTTCAACTTGAAAATAACTTTCAGGGCAAACGTCTTTTCATCTTTTTATTTTATCAAAAGTCTTTCTTATGTTTACCTTTATCTACAAATCAGTTAACCAACGCAATGTCAATCATTGAGAAATCCTATTTCACGTCATAAATACACATTTACAAGTAAAGATGTCAAAGCGAAAGTACTGACGATGTAGAGAAATGAAATATATGAGGAAATTGTTCGAATCATATCATTGTAGGCGAAACATGCCGGAGGGTTAAAACGAGCTGAAGAAAAAGTTGAATTCTTTGTTAGTTTAGAAAGACATTTACAATGATATGAATCACATCAAGGTACATGACCATTTTATCAAAAATACCTGATCGATTTAATTGTTATTTATATTCATTTACCTTTTGACATTTTCATTCATTCATTTCTTTCGAAAATATTACACACAAAAAAAAATACAAGCAGAACAACAGAAAAGACCTAAGTCGGTATAGTAAATAAGCTTTCTATTGATTGAAAAACAAACGTTTTTGATTCACAACTGTTGTCTTCTTGTCACTATTAATCAATAAAAATTGCTTTGATAGCAATCCCAATATGTTATTTTCATCGACATTCCACATATAAACAACAGTGCGATCTGTTTAAATAGGAAATCTCTTAGTACGAGTAGGAAATGAGTTAACCCCTGAAAAATACGTTTTACTCGTGTTGCATTTGTGAATGAGTTCACAAAACGATGAACAAGAATAACAAATTTATTTGTCTGAACACAATTTACAATTATAATACAACAAATATCATTGATGCAGAGATTCTCTTTGATTCGATAATGCGTTGGGAATATAAACAAATGAATTCTTCTTTAGATTTTTTGCTGTTTCGTCCAACATGTTTTGAAATGATTCGCTCGTACATCAATCTCTCCACGTTCCAATGGATCTTTTTCATAAATTTGTCGATAACATGAATAAGATATACATTGACGTACACAATTAATCATGTCAATTTCAGCTAATTCTTTTTGATGTTGTTGAACTGAAGAATCTGTAAGTGCCGAACTGCTTGGAAGATGTTTTTGACATATTACTTTTTGTTCACATTGCCGATTTATCCGACGAAAGTTTTCGTCTAATTGCCGTCGACGTGTGAATGATAAAGACGAAGGTTTTTTATTATTCATTGTCGAATTTGTCATATCAATGAATAAAATCATGACTAGGAGAAAAATCACTCGAAGAATCATCTAAACAGATTGAGAAATAAAAGAAGAAGAAAAAAAACGAAGAAGCAAACATCGAGTAATACGCAAATATATTTGAAGAAATTTTTTTCTTTTGAAAATGACAAAAAAAAGAAAGAGAGAGAGAGAAATAAAACGGCACGTGAAAGAGACAAAGGACATGCAAATGTTCTTGTTAAGTTTTGTAATGTTTGGTTTTCGAGAAATGAAATATAAACGAACGATTGACAACGAAAT